TATCGAAACAAAAAAACCCCCCAAATAGAAATCGATTTTAGAAACAAATTTTTCCGTTGTTACCCAGGCCTAGTATATCACACACTAGGAATGCAAGCTAATAGTTTGGACACAGTTGTTGATCTCATTCTCATTCTTTGGACAGAAAAACAGAACACATCTATATAAATAAAAATGTCATGTTCGTTTGTGGGATTAACAGAACTCAAAAACCACTGGGCAAATTGACACCAAATTTGGACACAAGGCACCTCTCAGGCCAACAAGTGACCACCACTCAGAAAAACACTGAAAAACACAGCAGAAGGGACTTAAAAAGTGAAAAATAAAAAACAACATTACAACACACGCACAAAACCACATATATATACACAAACACACATATATGGCAGAGTGCAACAGACATCCTGCTGCATTTTGTAGGAGGATGGACCATGGATGATGGGACTTGCAATACCTTTACTCACTTACTGAAACCACTGTGACCCACATCCAATGACCAATAAGGACCAAACTTGGCACACAGAGCCCTCATGACCCACTCTACATCCTGGTGCAGTTTGGATGAGAATGGACCATGGATGATAGGACTTGCAATACCTTCACTCACTTACTGAAACCACTGTGACCCACATCCAATGACCAACAAAGACCAAACTTTGCACACAGAGACCCCATGACCCACTCTACATCCTGGTGCAGTTTGGAGGAGGATGGACCATGGATGATGGGACTTGCAGTACCTTCACTCACTTTCTGAGACCACTGCGACCCTCATCCAATGACTGATCAAGACCAAATTTGGCAAACAGAGCCCCCATGACCTGACCCACTTTACATCCTGGAGCAGTTAGGAAGAGGATGGACCAAGGATGATGGGACTTGAAGTACCTTTACTCACTTCCCAAGATCTCTGCGAATGTCATGCAATGACTGATCAAGACCAAACTTGGCACACAGAGTCCCCATGACCCACTCTACATCCTGGTGCTGTTTGGAGGAGGACAGACCATGGACGATGGGACTCACAGTACAATCATTAACTTCCTGAGACCACAGCGAGCCGCATAAATAACTGATAAAGACCAACCTTGGCACACAATGCGGTCAGGCACTCATCTTGCACTCGAGGGGCTTCTTTGGAGTTAGGTGGAAAAGAGTAGTAGAGTTGTGTGTCATCTGCATAGAGATGGCACCCAACTCCAAAACTCCGGATGACTTCTCCAAGCGGTTTCATGTAGATGTTAAAAAGCATGGGAGACAGAATGGAGTCTTGCGGGACCCCACAGGTCAAAGGCCAGGGGTCCGAGCAGGCGTCTCCCAGCTTCACCATCTGGGTTCGTCCCTCCAGGAAGGACCGGGGCGACGACAGAACCATGCCTCCAAGACCCATCCTGGAGAGTCGTCCCAGAAGGATACCATGATCGATGGTATCGAAAGCCACTGAGATGTCCAAGAGAACCAACAGGGTCTTCTTTACTTTTTCCCTTTTTCCATGTGAAACTAAAGAAAATTCCTTGTAAAAAAACAAAACCACTTCTCTTTTCTAGGGTGAGGAAATAACCATTGAGAACAGCTCAGATTCCCAGCCATCATGATGTGATTGGGGAGCATTTACAGACAACGGAAGCCTGTTGCAACCCAATCTGTCACAGAGGAAGTTTCATTAGGTGTGATAGGAATCATGTCCCTTTAAGAGCAGGTTGCAAAGGATGACAGACATCTTAATAAGGGCTGCATTTCCCCATCATCCCCCGTTTTTGTCACTTTAATTGGATACAACAAAGCCAAGCGAGTTTGAGGTAGGATTGACATGTTGGGTAGCTCCATCCCTCTCCATAAACCCCGGAGAAGAATTTGCCACAATGCAAGATGCTATACGAGCCTTTCCCTATTAACTCTGCTATTTGCTGGGGAGGTGACAACTGTATGAGCTATTTCCTTTCTGCAAAAAGTCAGATTGCTTTAGAGGAGGTATCCGAAGGCTCAGTCATATTTGTATTCACGAAGAAGAATGTTCCATTTCAATCAACAGAACGGGTTGCTGTAGGTTTTTTCGGGCTATATGGCCATGGTCTAGAGGCACTCTCTCCTGACGTTTCGCCTGCATCTATGGCAAGCATCCTCAGAGGTAGTGAGGTCTTTTGGAAGTAGGAAAATGGGTTTATATATCTGTGGAATGACCAGGGTGGGACAAAGAACCCTTGTCTGCTGGAGCCAGGTGTGAATGTTTCAACTGATCACCTTGATTAGCATATAATGGCTGGACGCCCATCTGTCAGGTTTTGATTGTGCCTTTCCCACCTGGCAGAAGGGGACTTGGGCTGGATGGCCCTGGGAGTCCCTCTGATTCTATAGCCCTGTTTCTCCATGAGCCGGCTGGA